TTCTACAGTGCATACATTTTCTGTAATAACTAAGTGAAGCACAGCCAATCAATCGCGTTCCCGAATGAAAGGCATAGCGAAGATTACGCCGGTAAGGTTGCTACGCCGCAGACAGCCGAACGCAGCTCTACCGACGTCCTCTCCTCTATGCCTTCCGTTCGGGAACATAATTGATTGACTATGCTTCACTTAGTTATTACAAGAAATTTATGCAATGTGGGAAAAAAATAGTACAGAACTTTTCGACTCCTTTTTCAACAAGGATAGCGCTGGATAAACCGTGACTACGGGTTCTGTTACAACCTGTACATGTTTTATATGAAAGAAAAAATTAATTGGAATTTCAGATATAGGTTTCAAACCTAAAATGGTACAATAGATAAACTGGCTTTATATACGTGGTCTCCTCGACCAGGCAAGAGATAATTAATTTTATCATTTGGAAGCCTTTATTTCCGAAATGTTTTCTTCAATATTCTTCGAAACCCTTAAAAAATTATGGGCTTCATTAATTTTGTATTATAAGAAGCCAGACGTAATTGGATACTAAAGGGTGGCCTCATCATGGAGGGAAATTTTACTTATGGCCACCATTTGTCACATTCTTAATGTCAAATGATGTTTGTTTGAATTCCTGTTGCTTTTGGACAGCGTTTGTAAATGTAAATATTTTCTTTTTCCAGAACGAACATAAATGACTCTATTGGGGTGGATTTCCCATTCGGGGTAGTTATTACTATAGTGACATTTTAAAGTTCCATGTTTATGAAATACTGTTTACGTGAATTTTCATTACATTCGTTCGCATATTACGCGTCTTTTACACTTTTTATTATACGAAAATCGTAACTAATTAATTAGGTGTGGCTCACCCCTCAGTAGTGATGAAAGGTTATCAAATCACTATTCTGGCATCATAAAATAATTATTGCTTAAAATTTCTTAAGAATTTAATGACTTTATGTTATGCGTTTCAAGTTTCTGTACCTGTCTTTATACGACTTGAGGCAGTTTAGGCAAGAGTGAATGCCGATAAGAACATTATACACTGTGATGCGGCAAATTTTTGCCAGTCACAAAGGGGGTTTGAGGCCAGAGTGAGGAGGAGTCCCTCTGGCAATCCTTAGGTTTAAGACGTTTTGTTTTAATAATATTTTGTATCATTTTTGCGGTAGACTGTACCTTCGCGGAAGAGCGGCACGCATCGGCGCGCCAATACAAAGAATTCTTTGTATCCATGATTACGTCAAGTGCTCGAGGTCCCGAATTGGGGGCCCTGTTGCCATTGGCTGGCAACTGCATTACTTAGGCGGCCTATTGGCACCGACATGACAGCAGAGATGGCAGAACGGAGCACCTAGATTAAGCATTTCCGGGCCGACCAGGAGGAAGACGACGCAGGCGAAGAGGATCTTTCGGCAGAAAGAACATTTTCAGAGGGACCGTCGTCGATGCCGTAACTACTTTCTGTCGTCCCGTTCCCGCCGAGGATTGTACTGCCGTATTCCGAAGGGCGCTATATTGACGCAGTTTCCCAAAGGATGCCGTATCATCCCTAAGGGAGTTCCACTACGAGAGCCTCGACATTGGCAGCACCTGAGTCTTAACCAGCCCAAAGGGCCTCATCATGACCGCTAATGATTGTCCCGTCCCCGTGCTGTAAGCCGATTCCCGACGGGTTGTTGTTGGGTTCCTGTATATTTTCAATGGGTTCCCGCCTATTTTTGATGCGCCTATTTGACTAAAAACCGTTGCCGTGCGTGGCGTCGCTTTCGATTGTATCTCATATGACGGAATTTCCCGTAGACCGCGTGCTAGTTCCGTTTCGTCCGTAGACATCTTTTCGTGTCCGCGTGGTGAGTCCCTTTTCGCGCCCCCTTTGTTTTAATTCACCTTTGTAACGGATCGTGTCCCGATTTTCTGACTAGGTTATAGTTGTGAGGAGACCCTTGCTCGTGTGTCGTGCCCTTTACCGTGATTTTGTTTACCGGATATTGTATCGCTATCGTGGCTGCCGAAGAGCAGGTTTAAGTGGGCGAGGGGTGGAGTGCCATATCGCAGGCCGTCGCTATTCCCCCTTGCGCATCTACCAGGTGCCGGGCCCTTATCGAGGCACTGAGAGGTCCATACCAGGTCCTCCTGCCAGAGCGTTATGCCCCTTTCACACTTCTACCGTGGAGTCCGAGTTCTGGTCGCGTACAACTTCTATTCTTTTTCCCCTGATTGTTCCTATGCCGATAGTATGGCGTTTCCGTTAGTACACCGTGCCTAATTTCCGATTCCGACCGCGAACTATAGTAAATTGTCGCGCGCACCATTGTATCCCGATTTTGTTGTTAATAAATATCTCGCCGGGACCGGTTACCATAAGCACGCGTTATACTTTATTTAATTATCATCCCCATCTCGTGGACTCCGAAGGCGACTCCTCCTCGGTCGTATCGGATCCTACTACCGAATCGCCCAACTCTGCCGTGCGGTGAAGAGCGTAAGGTCCTCAAGGGGTGAGTAGCCGGTTAGGTACGCCCTGCAAGGTTCCGTTGTCTGGGCCTGATCGCAGTGCTCAGGCAGCCTGACCCCGAAATTCCGTGGTGCGTGTGTGCGCATCTGGCGCCTTTAACACGTTAATTGCGGAGCCGATTTTGCTGAGCTTTCCGTTCAGGTGGCACAATTTTGTATATATAAGATTCTTGATGCAATGTCAGTCCCCAGGGACTAACGCCGCGCTTAACGTGTTAAGGTATTACTTCCCAAAATGCACTTTTCTTACCATTTTTTTCAGACTTCATCAGTGTATTGTTTAGATTTTTTTCTATAAAACAAATTTATTCGGAACAAAATCGTCTATCTAGATCGGAAGATAATCGAATTTTAATATTGCTTATTTTGCAGCATGTCTCCATATGTAACAGGTACATAACGGGGCGCTGCGTTACATTTTCAATTTTTAAGGTGAAACGACTTTTACCATTATTTTTTCAAAAATCGTGACAATGTAAAGGAATATGTGTTAGTTAATATTTAAAAAAAAATGGAATTTTTTGTCCATCAGGAAATGGAGATAGGGCTATCAGAAAAATTGCGAATTTTTTTACACGTCGCAGAGAGTGGGGCGGGCGGTTCAGATGTGGCAACCATGTTCGCGACAGTACATGTAACCGCCCGCGTATATGACAAAATTTTTCACTGCATGGACTACTGATGCCCCAAACAACGCCGAAACATCTCTGCCCGTCAACCTACGCTTGTGTGAGAGTCTATCCGTTCACAGAATACATGTGTGCGTAGCGCCCAAGATGTACAGGCATGGTCAAAAAGTTCGCTTTGAGGTATAGGGGGAACTCAATGGTCGATAGATTCCCGAACGCGTCAACTTTTGAGTTCAATTACTACGGAAGTAAAACATTAAAGAAAGCGGAGTTCCGGACAAGCCGAAATCTGGGCTTGACCCCTACCGTCAATATCGCGCAGGGCATACAACTATTTGACGACTAGGGAATGAGAGATTCCCGTCGCAAAATTAAGTAAGTTATGACCTACATTTACAATATGCTTTACTCGATACTTTTTACTTTAAACTAAGAATTCCTGCATCCCTTCTTATGAACTTTGAGGGTATGTTTCACCCCCTAAATATGAAAATGGGTCAAAATAAAAATACACGTATTTCTTACTTTATGATCCTCTAAAACATATCCAAGAACCAAACCAATCGGAGGCGGACACCTGAAAAACATTCCTTGAGAGAGTATTTTTGGTGAACAGAGATTTAATTTTGTCCGCATCTGTGGATAGTTATCAGTTGTGGATAAGTGATAGCGGTGGGTTCTGGGCGTAAGGGTTGGGACACAAAATTCGGAGGTATGTTATTTAACACGTTCCGTGCCACGTGTACTACCAATAATACGCGTTAACCTCGGGTGGAACACGGCGTGGAACGGAACGTGTTAATGAGCACATAATACGAGGATTACACTAGGTCGAAAGACTTTTAAATTTTTTCCGTTCCAGTAGATAGTTACCTCTTATGAATAGGAGTTCTGAGTGTAAGGGTTGGAACACAAAATTTTGAGGTATAATATTCGAAGTGCATATGATCAGCTCATTATGTTAATTTAATTTCGATTATTAAAACGCTATCAATTTTAGTGAAGTTGCTAGCATATAACGTACACAATTTTAAGTAAAATGCCGGGTCGTCTGCTTAAAACCAAACACTTAAATATCAGCCTTGGATTCGAAAATATGTAAAAACGTTTTTAACAAAAGTTGGAGGTTTTACAGGTCAAATTTTAAGCAAGAAAGATTTTTTTTATCCAAAGTTATTAAGGTCACCAATGTTTTTTTTAAAGGAACTATGTGTTTTTTGTTTTCATCCGATTAAAGTGTTAGGACGAATTCAACGATGTATGATACCCTTGCAAATTTTTAAATAATACTGCCGGAAAACAAAAGAATGTTTTTCTAGGGGCTGCGCTGCAATCGCCGCAAATACTGTTTACAGCGTTTCGCAATCTGTAATTGTAGGTTTTAAAAAGTGTAAATTTTGAAGGTAATCATTTCAAACATTTATTGCGATAGATAATAATCAAAATATCGACAAACCTAAATTATTAAAATTGATAAACATAGCGAGTTACCTCGTTTTTATGAAAATCAAGGACTCGAGTGATACAACAATGTGCAAGTAATGTTATTTTAAAATTAGGAAGGAAAATGCTAATATATAATTCGTCGTTGAATTCGTCTTGACCATTATTTTATTGAGATTAAATAAAAAGCATGTAGTTCCAGTAAAAGATACATTGATGACCTTGATAATTCTGGAAAAAATTACATTAGAGCAAAAGTATCTTTTGCTTCAAATGTGGTCTCTAATCTCCTCCAATTTTTGTTAATAATATTTTCACATATCAACAAATACAAGACAAGTATTCAGATGTTCGGTTTTACGTGGAATACACTGTATATTCCTTAACCTTGAACATAGGAAAACTCACCTCTGCATTGTTCTCCGATGACTCTTGTTATTATTGTGCTCCGTATCCATAGATATGACTGCTAAAACTTCTTCGTTGACGTACAGTGAGGACGGAAGGGGCTGGGGTACGGGTGGCGGTGGTGGTAGCATTGGCGGTGGCGATGGTGAACTTAACGTTCCTTGTGGTGACATTGGACCATTGCTACTTCCCACACTTCCTAACCTTCCAACTCCATTATGTTGATTATTAGATAATCTTACGCCTCCCCGACTGTTATTTCTTATTGGTGTAGGATCTAGATAATTCGGTTCAGATGGAACCGCCGTTCTTGCAGCTACCGTTGAACCAAGATGTGAAGAAACGGGAACCTCTCTTGATATCGTTTCATCGGTACTGTTATTGCAAACCTGTACACACATTCATATTTTAGATATTATATTAAGATAAGATCTATACGTATACGAAGATTGTATATTTATATGTTCGCAGTAACCTCCAAATCCACTACATCGATAAAAAGAAAGAAGTAAATCTATTCATTTGTTTACAGATTTACAGGAATATTACGTAGTCATCTTTGTACTTTCGAAATTGGGAAGTACGTTAAGTCGTTATCCGAAAGACACGCATGTAAATATGAGAAACGATCACGTGATTAGGAAAAAGAGCTGGCTAAAAAGGGACCTAAGTCCACCCTGCGTGCCATGTCCACAGCTCCGACTTGACACAAATAGATACTGCCCGATCCAAGACCGCAATTTTTAATGACGTGACGTGATGATGAGTGAGAAAACCGGATTTATCGTTAAAATTATTAGATAAGTGTTACATTCCTTATGAAGGCAAGGGGTTAGGTTTTATAGCATTGATTCTTTGAGATTTATTTGTTACAAGGGGAGTGAATAATGATATCAGGCCCTAAGCAAAAGAGTTGAAATTCAAACAGGTACTGAAATTGAGACGTAGCATAAGTTGTGACGAGCATATTCGAACGATCAAGTTAGAGTCGACTAGAATTTTCTTGATCGTTCCATGTTTACATTTCGAGGATCAACGGCGACGACTGTTGACCCTCCCCGCGTCTCTCTCCGCCCGATTTAGGGGAGGGTCTCGACCGAGCTCTAGATGAGAGATCCTTCTCTCGTGGATCGTCCTAGCGTATAGATCACGACGCTTCCTTCGCTTCGACGTGTTCGATTTTCGATTTTCTAGCTTTGACCAACGCGTTTATATAAGTATATGTAAGCGTTTATATAAGATAAATAAATAAAATTTTTTCGTACACTAACACAAAAGTTTTGTAGTAAACTTCAATCAATGTAAAGGGGCGTCTTAACTAAAAGACCTTTGAACTTGTCATCAATGTGTATCTGATGGACTTCAATATTCAGGTATACATTCATTATATAACTTAATACAAATTACAAGAAGATGTGAAATCATCACAAAAATACTGTCGGTGTAAAAAAAACGCGCCAAATACATCTAATTGTAAAAGAACATTTTGCAATGTCATGTCCATATAGTGGAGATTAATCGCATAAAAACAGTAAATCAATTACTTTTGCCAAATACGTGTAATGGGTGTTATATGCAAAATAAAATTTTACAAAATTATACCGATAAAGGAATTCAGCGCATGGCAGTAGTGAATCTTGCTAAACCCGTACAGTATGATACATTTAAACAAAATATAGCTTAATAATACAAAATATATTTGGCGAGCCTTATCGATTATTCGTTTTGCACATTTAAGCAATTGTACTGAATTCGAGATTTTTGAGAGTATAAATATTATTGTGGGACTCGGCAAATATCTTTTTTATATTTAAGAATAAATTTTGCTTTAAATGTAACATACTATATGGGTTTAGCAAGATTCATTACTGCTATGCGCTGAATTATTCTTTTATAGGTATATTTTTGTAAAATTTTATTTTGCATATAACACCCATTACACGTATTTGGCAAAAGTAATTGATTTCATTGTTTTTGTGCGATTAATCGCCACTATATGGTGTGACGATGCACCCGGTGGGCGATCGCACCAGTGCTCCAAATGTTAAAACCTCCATCCTGCAGTGCATTAAAATTCTTCCGAAGGCAGTGGTATTATATTTTCTCGTATCATTATATCCATGTCTTATTCCAGCACGCTCGACGTTCAAGGCTGAGGAGGAGAGGAGACCGAATATTCGTTGCGTTGCCTTGCGTATTTTTTTTTATAGTATAAGTTGTGTATAGCTTAGACGTTAGGACGTCCTCGCGGTGAGGCGAGTGCGGCACAAGTCAACAGCCATCGCGGGACAAAGGCGCCCTCGAGGGACCACAGAAGAGGAAGACAACGGTGGCAGACAGGCTTCGCCCCGCCGCCGCCCATGGGTGCCGGGGCCGCGCGGAGTAGGGCCGAACTGAGCCACCCGCGACCCCGTGCTTGACGGCAAGGGCCGACCCATGGCGGCGTCGCTGGGTCACCGTGTCCGCACCCAGATTTCCGGCCCCACACTGATGGCGGGAGGACGCATTGCCGGTGGCCGTGGACCCCCCGCCGTGACTTTTAACTCAAGGAAGTCCATAAAAGGATGGTGAGGGGGGGTCCCAATTGCGTCGCCCTCCTACGCCGAGGCCAGGCCGCGGTGACGCCAGGGCGAAAGGGCCCACTGGTCCCCTCATCCGGGAGCCGTTGCATCAAGGGATGTCGGCACCCGCGGGCAAAATCGCGAGGAATCTTGGCTCAAGGGAGCCCAGGACCGGCGCCACCGAGTCCCCGAGGAGCCACGTCCCTGGACCTGCAGATGACGTCACGCGCTGGCCGCGCGCCCCGATTGGACCGCGGAATCCACTTCAAATCTGGCGCGCGCACCTGCGCCGTGGTTGTCATCACCCAAAATCCTCTCAATTTCGAACGCGACCGCTGTCAATTGGCCGACGCAATTTGGCAGCCGACGGCGGCCAATCAACGAGAACTTCGAGCCGCCGACGAGGAGCCGTCGAGCCTTCTCGGAGGACCACGGCGAGGACCCGGTCTTCTTGGTCTGCGAGCGTCGAGTGAAGAAGACCTGTCCGCTGCCTTCTCGCCGTTCCCCTGCACCGCTATCTCGACACCACACCGCCGATACCGGGGAGCATTGCTGTCTACGGTGGACGTCCATCGAGGGAGCTGTCGCACTCGCCGAGCCCGAGGTTTGAGCATGCAATAAATTGATTCGATTGTGTATATTTGTTTTGATAGATTTCCTGTTCCGCGTTTTCGCCGGGTAACCCGTCGTCGGGCCGCGCGCCACGCGGTCGGCCCTTCCGCGTCTAATCGGCCAAAGTCTCGTGTGAGCGGCCTTTTTGAAGTAAAATATCTCCTTGCTGCCTCTCTCCTCGGTCGGATGAAGAAGCCGTGTCGATCTGAACTCGAGAATGCTGTCTTGAGCGGTCGACACATTAATTTCCTTTTTATTTCGCGAAGTGTGAACTTAAATTCCGTTATCGCGATGTGCGAACTTGGTTAAATAATTACCGTTTTCGCGAAGTGTGAATTGTAATTAACTATGTCATTTTTCACGAAGTGCGAATTTTCAGTCAGTTTTCCTTGTTTCGCGAAGTGCGAACTCCCGTTGAATTAAATTCCGTTTTCGCGAAACGCGAATCCCCCTGTAATCCCGTCTTTTCGAGCTGGAAATTTCTTATGTATACGTGCCTGCCTTTGATTTAACTGTTCCATTTATAAATCGATAAGTGATTATATGTCCGGATTTTCGACTATTTTGATATGCTAGCTTTGTGATCCAATCAAATTTAGTTGGATCCTAATTACTTCAGAGCAAATATAATTTATGAAAATTTAATGTATCCGAAATTTTCTGTATTTCGCGTCGAGTGTTGGTGCCGATATTTTGAAATTGCTGCCTTTTCTTACGCTTCTTTTTCTTGTATTTTTTGTGTTATTGCTGCCTTACTCGCCGAAACCGTTAATATATTTTGTTGGCGTCTGTTTACCGTTTAAATATTTTCTTTGTGAATTTAGTCGTCTGAGGTTTTCCGATTTAATTTAGTTTCGCGTAGATACTTGCGTGCCTTTCTTAATTTTCGCATTGTCTTTAATTTGATTGTAATTCTCGTCCCGTAGTCGAGCCCAACCTTATAATCGAAGATATAGTCGCGTTTTGAATTTTTGCGTTTTGGATTTTTGGCTGTCTAAAGCTACTGTTCTTTTCCGTGCGCTTCGCCGCGCGCGCATCGCCCTTTTGAGCGCAAGCGCGGGCTTCGTCGCCCGGGCCGGTACCGGATTGTGGGCCCGCCCGTGGCAATTTTGAGAAATTGTTAAAGTCAATTATTTTCGTTTGGAATAAATAGGTCATTAATTTAATTCTGCCTCTGGTTTTTTTTTTTAAAGGACCCCGCCCTCTCCGCAGTCGCTTGGGCGTACTGAGCTAGCCCGGTTTATTTTTCGTTGGCGACGCTGCGTCCCGTCTCGTATCGCTACCTTTGGTTTAATCTTTGCGTGGCTGGGACTTTAAGATAATTTTGCTTCTGTTAGTTGAGGGATCGACCCTTCGGGCCTTATGCTGGTGCGTAAGCTCCAGTACGCTGGTGCGAGCCCCGACGGATTGGGCCCGTGCGGTTCGGGTCCCGGATTGGCCCTTTGGAGGGCCTGGCGTCCACAAATTTTGCTGTTGTTGAGCGATCACGAGACGGAGACCCTATTTTGTTAATTATTTATTTGTGACTCCACCAGAGGGTTAATTGCCAGAACTTTGTTTGGGGTTATATCAGTAAAAATAACGTCACAATGGATATGACTTTGCAAAATGTACTCTTCCAATTGGATGTATTTGGCACAAGTTTTTTTGCACCAACGGTGCTTTTGTGGTGATACTAATTATTCCTAAGTTTTCACGCGTTTACTCTTCGCAGAGCGCGGTTGGAATGAGACCCGAATTAAATAAACTGTAAAGGGAGAGCGGAGGACGATGTACCGATCTTGTCAGATCAATTCAATAACATAATTAAGCATAGCGACGCACAGATTACTGAAATTTCCCTCCACTAACTCGGCTACTTGGAGAAGAAAGATTAACACCCTTTAAAAGGGACTAGATCTCAAGAGTCAGAGCTTCTTCTGAGTCCACGATTCGTCGAATACGTTCCATCTAAAGTTCAAAATCGCGAGTGATTGAAAAACTGCAAGTGGCCTTTCTATTTCGTGGAGTATACAACGAGGTACTGTAACGGGTCAAGTGGTTAACGGGCGCCACGGTTACGAGCATGCGCGATAATATTTGCAATAGGTGGGGGGACCCACCGAGAGGGGTCGCGAACCGCGAGCGCGGGGCACCGAGGACGGAGCGCTCTCTTGGATTAGAACCGCGAACGCGAGTAAGTCGGGAAACGTCTTTCTCCCAGATTATTGCTAGTA